TATATATATATATATATAAGATATAGTGAAGCTCTTATCTCAAAAATCAGAACCGTGAGAGAAAAACAAGAAAATATATTTAAAAAAAAAGGATAAAAGCGAAGCAAAGAATTTTGCCATAGTATAGTGCGAGAAAGAGAATAAGAGAAATGATGAAAAGAGCGAAGAGATGATGAGAGTCCTCAGGGACCCCTTCGTCGCTTTGTAAGGGATACAACTACCGTCGAGGTCCGGGTGCTCCACGTTATTTATCTTTATGGACCTCGGGCAGAGGGTAAGTACACTTACTTGGGGGGTGGTGAAGGGGCGAGCTTAAGCCGAAACGAGGGCGGTAAGAGATTGTTTGTCGTATTGGCCGCGGTTTCGACGAGCTTAACGTTACCCGTTTAGGGGATTTCGCGGTGACTTTCTCTCAGAAGACAGAGACAGTTGTCTTTCTGAAAGAGTCTTTGAAGTATTTTTTTTTATTTTTATGAAAAAATAATGTGTGTGTGTGTGTGTGTGTATAATTCAACAAGTTAACATGTAAGTTTAGCACAACATAAAATTTAATTAATTATATTCTAATCAAGTATTACACGTCACGATACTCTATTATGTTAAATATTATATATATATATTATTTATAAATTTAACATTGAAATATTAATTCGAATGTCAATAAAATATATAAATTAACACAACTATTTTTTTTTATTATTTCGTTTTAAGACAATGCAAATACCTTTTTTTTATAATAATTAAAAAATTTAATTAGATTGGCATAAAAATATAAATTGCAAACTATTTCTATAAAAAAGAAAATTTTTCTTTTATTTTTTTTTTATAAATTTGAAAGAGACAGTTGTGCGCGCTATTTTACTCAAACATCGGAAATAACAATCGATTCGAATGTCAGGAGGAGATCTCTAAGTAGCCAGAAATTAATCTATTGCCCTGTAATCGGCTTTCGGTGATTTAGCACCAAGGAGACAAGAGGAGGATGGACGATGTCTATAAAGCGAAGAGCAAGATCGATTCTGTATCTAAGAAGTCATTGCGAACCGCTATTATGACCAACAAAATCAATTAACAATTTTTTTAGAAAAAAAGATAAAAGAGGTTTTATTTACACACACACATTCTTTTCTTGTGCAAACATATTTTTTAATAGATATTTGCAATAAAAATAAAAAGGTAATATTAGAAATATCTCTGTGATTTGTATTAATATAAAAATTAATGTCATAAATATAACTGATAAATTGACTAATTTTAAACTTAATGTTATATATGTAGATAAAAGGATATGAGATACGATATATGGTTTATAATGTGTGTCACGGATATTCTTTTATTAATTAACAACGATCTGAATTACATACAGTGCTTATGTACAATGTGATATTTACAACGAAGTGTGATGTAACGTGATATCTTAATAAAACAATTCTTATAAAAGGAAACAAAACTTCGATATCTCTATAAAAAAGAGATCGATAATGTTCATATTATACAGACCTATATATTACATTTAATCTTAGAACAACTTTGCATATGTCGCGATATCTTAATATCTCAATATTACTATCAGTACGAGACAATATATTATTGAAGATAATATCGAATTCATTACAACATCCATCCAATATCCCTATTCTTTAATCAATATCGATACATCGACATTTAGTTATAACCCCCTCATTTATAAATGCAATCTCCTTCGTATTAAAAGTTTCACTACGAATATTTACACACTACTGTGATTATTGCTGTACAGAATACTGCATATGTTATCTTAATGATTACTTATTTTTTCCCAATTCTTATAAATAACTCTATTTAGAATCCTATTATATTAAATCGTAATGTGCATTATAATTAGACAATTGATTCAATCAAAAATAATAATATTATTTATAATTTTACAAACTTTTTGCAAAAGTACTTGTGAATTACTTCCGTATGAATAAAGTTTCTTTGGCCAAGTCGGAAAACGCAGTGCGATAATTCACGTAATTTTCGGACAATATTAAGCCACTCGGCGACAGCTTAACCCTATGTTAAGCCGCACACCGTCGGCGGGGGTGAAACAAGAGTGCAGGAGGAGAGGGATGGCGATGAGGGCGGCTCTCGACGGTGGTTGGAGGCCGAGCTGTATTTAAAACGCGAATGCGCGCCGGCCGATTCGCCGTTTGAAGTTAAATGGAGTGTAAATGGCAGATAACAAACCGGCACTGTTTCCGATTACGGCATTCATTGTTTCCTACCATTATGCGCGCTCCGACGGTTTGTGTGTGACGCGGGTTACGGCTTACGATCTATTTATTGCCACGCCGCCCTCACCTCCGTACACACGGCCGAAATGCGCTTTACACCAACGCTTGCACCAACCCCCCGCAACACGCAACCCTTCCGCACCCCCGGTCACCCTCAGCCGCCTTCTCCTCCCCCCCTGCTACCATCATCGCACCCGCAATCCACCGTCCATTTCACCTGCCTGCCGTTATAAATACACGGCAAATATTTTACTTTCTACACCGTGGAAATGGAGTCGTTCGAATGGACCGTATGTAATTTGCGAATGTATCGAAATACGACCGCGATTATATTTTGTCTCTGACAATTTTAACACGCTGCTTTTCCCCAAATATGCGTGATTTTAATATACTTTATTGCTACAGTTGGTTTTGTATCCAAAACTTTGTTTTTAGATCGAATCATTTATTTTGAAAATAATTGAATATTCCTGAATAACTTTAATCGTTGGATCTATAAAAAAAAAAGATAGAAATATCAGATATTCTCATTGCATTTTTACTTTACAAGTATAAAAACAATCATAATAAATCTAAATGTCTGCGGATACTTTAAAATATATATACCTGTGATAAAAACACAAATCATGTAAATCACATGTACATTATACACATTTCAAATTTTTATATTTTTCTCAGAAAAATCAAGATTATACGTTTCAAACTTTTAAATTTCTATCCTATTTGATATTCCTTTCTTTTCTTCTCAAAGAATTCCAAAATGATTTTCAAGGAATATAAAACTCTATGCTATTTCTTATATGTAAATATAATATTCGTAGATTTTAAATGTGATATTTAAAAAATGATATCTTATTTATATATTAATTGTCTGCGCGCATACACAATTAATATATTAATAAACACTCCGTTTTCTGAAAATTATGACTCTTTTTACGTTTCAAACTGATTAATTTAATTATTATTCGTTTAGCGTGGCAAGAATAACCCCAATTATTTAATAATATCTAATAATATTTTGTCAAGAGAATCAAAGTATATAGATTGTGTTAATTTATTTACATTTCACTCTTTTTCTCTCAAAGTATATGTGAATAACTCTTATTTTACTTATTTTAAGAGTGAAATTTATTTACAAATTGTTCCTACTTAATATTGACTAGACAGGGAATGTCTTGATCGCAGTGCGTGAGTTAAACTAGAGTACATCACGAATTCGCAGATATCAATTTCTATATAGACATTAAATTTTTGTATCGTAGATGCGTATACAATGTAAGTGTCGCGTAATAATACATCTATACATAATGTCGCAGATTCGTTGAGCCGTCTTTTATTTACGAATTTTTTGTATTCATTTCTAAATTGATTTTTACTTAATAAAAGAGAGAAAGAGACAGAATTTTTTTATCGTAAACTGTTAATTTTTTATAATAAGAATACATCTGTAACTAATCCTTCAAGAATATAATTCTGTCAAAACAAAGTCGATTTAAAATTAAATAAAAAATGAGATTTTATCATGTATGTTTGCACATTGCTGAATTTTAGTTTCCAGAGAAAACTTTTCATTTTCAATTACTTATTATTTAAATAATCTGTCGATACGGTTTTCTAGAGAATTAACTTTTTAATAATCTTACTACAAAATACATAGATAAAAAATAACTCAATAAAATCTGCACATATATTCATGATAGAAGAGATGTGCAAAAATTTTTTCAATCGCAACTACTGAGAAGATGATAAGATGATTAGATTTGCATACTTCCGATACGTAGCTCAAATGTATTTTTTTCGCAAGAAGCGATATCTCAATTTCTTTTTCAATTGATAAGATGTAACGATAAACAACAATTTTATCGTACCTAAGAAAGTCATAGCCTACTACTTCCCCTTATTCATCGATTTAGTTCTTCTATTCAAAGGAATAGCCAGCCGTTAGAATCTCGTCCTCGGTCGGCAATTTTCGTCGTCACTTACTGTGAACGGAAGTGGCTCTCCTCTTAACCTCGACCTGCTCGACGATACCGTCGCTCTCCTTATCCTGATGAGCGGTCATGTGTCTGGTGAGATGGTGTCTTTCGCGAAAGCTCTCGTCGCATACGGGACATCTAAGCTTCTCTTCCCTCCTCCTCCTCGCCGACTCGCCCAAGTTCTCGCTCTTGTGATGAGAGCGCATGTGGTAGACCAAGTCGGAGGTCATCCGGAACGACAGATTGCATTTGGCGCAGACGTTCTGCGCCGGCAAGGTCAGAGCGGCGAACGACGGCGGCAAAAGGCCGGCCACCCCGGCGGCCGTGGCCAGAAATCGCGGCCTGGCAAGAGCGTCTGCCATCGGCGGGAAAACGGAGATGGGATTGTAGGAGAGATTAGGATAGACCGGCGGGAGATCCGGTCGAAAAGCGGGCACCTTCGGACTGGGCACCTTGGGCGGCTGAGCAATCTGCGGGATCTTCAGGTTCTCCAACAATCCCGACTGACCGGTCTCCGCTCCCACTGCCAGGAATGGATACGCCATCTTAGTAGGAAACGGCGCGTACTTGTAACTCGCCGCTCCGGCCAACGACACCACCGGCGGACTGACGCTGTTCTGATAGCTCGCGCGGTCGTCCGGCGATATCGACGATCTGGGTGATGCCTGGCTATCATCGTTGAAGCCATTTCGTTGTCCTATCAGGTTGACTTTCGTAAAAGCACTGCGAGATTCGCCGTGGCGATCGGTCACGCAGGGGATACCAGTCTCGTAGACCTTCGTGCAGGACAAGACCGAAGAATCTGCCGATTCCGGACAGGTAGTCAGCATAGACTGATGACCGACGAAGATAGGCGGACTCGGAGTTTTCTGAAGCCGACCACCAGTCGATGTGTATCTCCTTCCGTCGGTGTCCGGGGAAAGTCCCGGCAAAGTCGGCGTCAAGGTTCTCGGTGACACGTAGGGTGGACTCAGTGAGTTCTCCGTGCATTGCAACAATCTCCTTCTCTCCGAACCGCCGGAATCGTTATCGTAGTGTTTGATGGTGAGATTTTGCGGCAGTCTGTCAGCATCCAGAACGTTATCAACAGAGATATCATCTCGCGGACGCTCCTTTCGGCCGGATATCAATCGCAACTTTTCGTTTTGACGACGTGCCAGGTTCTCGTCGGGCGCTACCAGGAAAGCGACGTCGAAGGAGCGCTTGCTAGCGCGCTGAAGGGGATATGAGGCGTCGGGTGTGACATCGCTGATGGACGCGGGGCACGCCGACGTCAATGTCGTCGTGGCCGGCGTCGAGGTCGCGGGGGCGGCGCGGTCGATGCCACCCGTGCGATCTTCCATTGTCATCCTGCTCGCTCCGGATGATCGACCTGCGAAACAATGACGGAGGGTGGACAATGAGTGTAAACGTCGCATCGGCGCGGAGTGATTGATCGCTCAAGATTCGATACACTTGGCCCAGCTGTCCTACATTCGAGGAGCATAAATCGGAGCAAAGCAAGATTGGTATCATCAGAATAGTCGAAAAAAGGTAAAACACGAGATAGACATTCCTTTATTTGGAAAAAGTATAAAATAATGGAAATAAGATTTTTATATCTAATGCAATGAAATTTAAAAAAAAATGTTCTTATGCTTGTCATAAAATAAATTCGATAATTATATTATACATATATAAA